CCCCTGAGCCGGCACTGGGGCACGGCCCGGCCCCCACAGCGCCGGGGGCAGCGGGGGAGGCACTGGGGGGGCCCAGAGGGGGATTGGGCTGTGCTGGGAGGAACTGGGAGGGAGTTTGAGACAGACTGGTTTAAACTGGGGAAGGGATTGAGGTGCTTAGGATGGCTGGGAAGGGGTTTGAAGGATGTTGGGGAGGATGGGATGGGGTTCTGGGGGTCCTGGTGGACACTGGGAGGGAGTTTGGGGGTGCTGGGTGTCACTGGGAGGGATTTGAGTGAGCCTGGAGGAGCTGGAAGGAGATTGGGCATTGGAAAGCAGGGATTGGGATGAGGTTGGTTGTGCTGGAAAGAGACTGGGAGGAGTCTTGATGAGTCCTGGTGGGGCTGGGAAGGGACTGGGAGAGGGTTTGGGGGTCCTGGGGCAGTGGGGAGAAATTGGGAGGGGGCTGTGGGATCCTGAGAGGAACAGGAGGGGCTCTGCTGGGTCCTGGGGAGGCTGGGAAGAGACTGGCAGTGATTTACCAAAATAGCGATATTGATCCAGTATCAACATCAATCTGTTAATGGACAAAAACCTCTCCAACAGTTTAAAGTTACAAAGTGGATGTTTAATCACAGCACTGGGCGAGTGTGGGAGTCACCCCTTAATACGCACTGCAAGTTGACAAAAGATTCCAGTGTCTATTTATTTACAAAAGTCTTGAATATCCAAAATACTTATATATTAATACTAATACATATTCATAATGCTAACAGCTCCCATTCCCCACTTTGGATTAAAATTCATGGTAATGAGTTTAAAAAGTCATTCTGCCTGTGTGGTTGGCTCCCTAATTTGAGGAGGAGGTCGTTTTGGTGAGGAGGGGTCATCAAGAGATGAAGGAAAACCGCTCTTCCTCACTCTCACCTTTCTACCTTTACAATGGTTACATTACAAATGACATTAGGTACAGCTCCAGTTTTCTCCCTTGTGACTTTTAAATGGGTTTCCAGATGTAAGGTCTGTGATCTTCCTGAACCCGTTTATCAGTTTCTCTTTTCTCATTATAAGCACAGCTGAACAAACACACAATGAAAAGGAATTTTTTATCTAAGTCCGAGATTCATTATCTCAAATCCTGCTTCTCACTTAATCATTAACTCGAACTACTTCCAGCAAGGCCTATCTCTAGCTAAGAACTCTAATTTTTCTAAAATTCTTAATTTTTTTAAATTAATGACTCTAAAAAAGGTTTCAGAGGGTCCTGGGTGGGCTGGGAGAGACAGGGAGGGTCCTTGGAGGAGGCTTGAGGTGTCTGTGAGAGGTTTTAGGGGTCCTGACCACTGCAGACCCCCCAGGGATGCTGTCAAACGCTGCCCACAGCAAGATGCAGATGGAGATTGGAAGTTCCGTGTTGGGCTTCGTATTCCTGGTACTGCGGCTCGGCTTCTGCCTGTGGAGGAAGGTGAAGGGGGGTCCCATGGATCATGTCCTCCCACCCCCAGAGCGTGTGCTCCTCCCAGGGACCCCCACTCTGGTGTCACCACCTTTTCTCTGCCCACACAGCTCCTGAGGCAGCAGGAAAAGGTTCTCTAGGATTAAAAGTCAACAAATCCACTCTCCCAAAGGAATTCCCATTGCTGGTCTGTGTCCCAGTGGATGTTCCTGCTCCAGTGTTCATCCAGGTGCCCACAGGGAGCCAGGAAGATGTGAAGCCTCCCAGCCAGGTGTCTTCCCAACACGCATCACCAGGACCACGGATCACCAGGGCTCTGCCCAACGGGGGTCACTGGGGGTCATCCAACGCCCATCCTCCCATGGGGGATGGAGCTGGAGCAGCGCACGAAGCTCTTCCCGCACTCGGGGCACTCGCAGGGCTTCCCTTACTGGTGCCTCCGTTGGTGTTGGGTCAAGTTAGAGCTGTGTGAGAAGCTCTTCCCACACTGGGGACACTCGTAGGGCCTCTCCCCAGTGTGGATGCGCCGGTGGACGGTGAGGTGGGAGTTGTGCTTGAAGCCCTTCCCGCAGTCGGGGCAGCGGAAGGGCCTCTCGTCTGTGTGAATCCGCTCATGTACGAGGACATGGGAGCTGGTCCGAAAACTCTTCCCACACTGGGGACACTTGTAGGGCCTCTCCCTGGTGTGGATGAGCTGGTGTTTCCTCAGATTGGAGCTCCACCCAAAGCTCTTCCCACATTCCAAGCAGGTGTAGGGCCGTTCCCCCGTGTGGATCACCTGGTGTCTCATCAGTTCAGAGGTATCTCTGAAGCTCTTCCCACATTTCCCACACTCATAGGGTCTTTCCCCACTGTGGATCACCTGGTGCCGGAGCAGGTTGGAGCTGTGGCTGAAATCTCTCGCACATTCCAAACACTTGTGGGGCTTCTCCCCCAGCTCTGAGCTCCGGCTGGATCTCCGGTCACCTTCAATGCACAGGGAGGATCTTTCCTCCTCACAGCTAACTGGGCTGGGTTTGCAGCCCCTCCTTGTGCAAGATCTCCAGGGATTTTCCTCCTCCTCCATCTGGCCACAGCTTGGGAATGAAAAATCCTAGTTTGGAGGGAAAAAAGAAAGGAAAAAGCCTTGGGCTGAGGGTTTCTCCTTTCCCAAGTTCATCTCAGGAATTCATTGGGTATCTAGTGTCTCTAAGAACCTCTAAGACACCAAGATTCAGCCCAAAAAATCCTCCAAACGTCAAGACAGATCAAAAACTTCCAAAACACCAAAAATCTGATATCCCCCCAACACAGAAAGATTCAGCCCCCACAAAAAAACAAAACACCAACATTTAGCCCAATAAAGCTCAGAAACACCAAGATTCAGCCCCGTGAAAATCGTGCATCTCCCTGCCCGGGCACTCGCTGCATGGGGGGTGAGGGGGGCAGTGAGGCCGGGCCGGAGCAGGGGGTGCCTGAGAGAGGCCCCGAGCCCGGCAGAAGCCCCTGCACAGCCATGCAAGTGGCTCCTGGCCGGACTCGGGGATCCCCCTGGCCATCCCCGCTGGAGCAGCCTGCTCCTGAGGGACTCTGGCCCCTGCGAGGGACCCCAGGCTGCAGCAGGACAAGGATTCCTGGCCCTCAGGGGGAGGCAGTGACATGACCTGACTGTGACCCCCATCCCTGTGCCTCTGGGCGGGGAGGGGGACGGAGAGGGGCACAAAGTTAAGCCCGGGAAGGAGGGA